AGCTCTATGAGGAATAAAGTAATTATTGGGAAACTAAACTATTAGCTACAAATACAGCTCTATGAGGAATAAAGTAATTATTGGGAAACTAAACTATTAGCTACAAATACAGCTCTATGAAGAATAAAGTAATTATTGGGAAACTAAACTATTAGTATTAGCTACAAATACAGCTCTATGAGGAATAAAATAATTATTGGGAACTAAACTATTAGTATTAGCTTCAAATACAGCTCTATGAGGAATAAAGTTGGGAAGCTCCACTAAGTTAATCACAAACACAGTCCCATCAGTTAACTAAGAACAAAGCTATTGTTGGCCTAATTGATTTAGTACTACCTTTAACTTCAAGTGAGCTCAGTTGTATTTCATGTGAACGTAGTTTATAAATTACTTCTTTTCTAACTAAGACGTATGGCAATAAAAAAAAAGTAAAATTTTATATAATGTTCGATGTTTTGATACATTTTACTGCGTGTTAAAACGTACGTGTCTTTCCAGTGTTTTTCATTTCCGCAAATGGGCAGAAAGTTCGGGAGATTTTGTTAGTTGCCCATGACTTAGGAATGGGTGATGGAGAATTTGTATTTTTGACAGTGGAATTATTCAAAAACGAAAGATCGTTTGGAAATTTTTCTTGGTATCAACTTGGAGACACTAGAAATCAAGTAAGAAGGCTCCATATATTGTGACGATTTTATAACATAACGTTGGAGTGTCTTTAAAAATACAGTCTTTTTCATTATTCTTGTCATGTAGTTGAAACATTTTATGTATAGTTATGTTTGTATGCAGGGTTCAATAAGTACAATTTTGGGTAAGATGGGAAGGTTCCACTAACTTAGAAAGTATTTGTTTCTTTATAATTTATAATTCAATGCGACGATAATTTGTATTTTTTGCATGCTTCCTAGGCTTCATACGTCACGAGAGTCTTCCCTTTATGCAGGTTTATATATCTCCAAAGAACACTAAAATTCATAAAAAATTCTGCTTGAAATAAACAAAAAAGTTTTATATAATGATTGTCTACTATTAAACAAAACAATGAAACAATAACACTACCTAAATAGTAAAAACTTTTAGAGTTATTCTTGAAGATCGATGGTTTCCGTAACTCAAAATTGTATATATTTTTAAACCAGGACGCTCGAAGGATCTACGATTCATTGTTTTCCATCTCCATCAGAGCTCCAGAAGGACCAGAATACCAATCTTTTGTTCAGGAGGTCATCAACACGTCTTGGACAGTTTTCGGAACGAAGTTTACTCACGACGCTGTAAGTTAATGGGTTGATTTTAACAGTTAGAGAGAAACATTAATATATAATAGCTGAACAATTACTCCTTCTTTGACCACTAGAAGGTTTAACGATGATACGAGAACTAACATCTTAGGCTGTATGTTTACTACGTCATATGAGTCTGCCTTTTCTGTAAGAGATAGGTTTATAGTTAACAAGATATTCCTCTTGTACAATTTAGATGAGGCTTTAAAAACTGCTCTGATACTGAAAAACTATGTCAGTTTAGATTGTTCTTTCTCTACTCTTATTGAAATGGATATCAGTATTCTTTCAGTGTGTACACTGTATTTTATATTCAGTATATTCATTACTGGACCTGAATATTTTCTTGGGTTTTACAGTTATAGTTGATGACAATGAGCACACTTTTAGAAAATTAAAAAATTGGAGACGACTTGATTGGGCAATGAAGAAAACTGTATTATAAATGTACAACATTTCAACAAAATTATGTCTCCAGGAAACTGTCTTATAGTTGACGACGAAGTTGAGGCATTTGCTCAGAAGTTGTAGTTCAGTATCATTTAATGGTCGATCTGATCTGTTGGTAACAAGATAAAGTTGTTGTTGTATCGTCTTTCATGTAGTTGTAGTTTTCTCAGTTGTTCCAGTTTTTTGTTGTGTACATATTTCTTCACTTGATTTAACACGGAGTTGCTTTAGTTGATGGTGATATAATCTTTTCGAAACGTTGTGCATTTATAATAAATTTTCTTCATTACCCTTTCATGCACTTTCCAAACTTTTAGTTATATTATATGTTATTAAAAGTGTTGATAACATCCAGCTTGGGGTATTATTTAAGTCAAGATTAACTGGAAATATCTATTCTATATTTATTATGTAACTACTACTCTGAATATTCAGGAACTTTGTCTCCTCTAAAGCATCATGATACTCCAGGTTTGATATTGAATCCAAAGTTATTTTGCCTACAGAAACTGATCCTATACCCACTACAGCACATACGAATTCAGAAATTGTTTTTTGTAACACATACTAGGGTAATGTCGTCAGTAAAAGCAAACTATTATCACAGGATAACTCTGAGTTATTGGTAATATCAGTCAAATTTTGGTTTGGGTAAACGTAACATATTAGTACTTAGTTATGACAACAGAAATTATACCAACTTATGGTGAATTACTAGAAGGCTGTAATAGAGTCAGGCAGTTTTGATCTGATACTCACAATCAGATAAAATAGTGCAAAATCGTAAACTTTTATCTAAAAGCTTACCTGAAGATGTTGAACATATTAAAACTAATAACATTTCAGCATACTTTTGGCAATGAAACTAGTTGAAGACGGTTTTGTTTTTACCCAAAATGTGCTAAATTGTTCAAACTTTTATAGCTTTTATGACTTAGCCATATTAACCGGTTTTCATATGTGACGATCGTGTTATTAAGTCTGTGTGGCGTAGTTTTGGTATTTCATTGTGAAGGAGTATTTGAAGACGCTCAAGTTTTTACCCTGATGTAGATTTTTAGTTATTTTCAGTTTCAGGTTTTAAGCATTATAAAGAGAACCATTTTAGCTAACAAAATACAATAAACCCGTATCATGATCGACAAAAACTCGCTGTTACAAGCTCTAACCAGTCCAGCTAAATAGATCTATAAACAAATATCAACTGCTTTTTCTAATGAATAAACTTTTAATCTCGGTTTTGTACAAATTCCATAATGCGTTATAGCTTACGTAGTTGTCACCGATGTTACAACATGAAACCCAAATTACAAATGTTAAAACATAATACGAAGGACATCATACATGCTACTTTAAAGTTATTATACTAGAATTAATATAACAAGATTGTACATATAGGGTTTTTCTTAAGACTCTACTGGTAGTGATAAAGGACTTTAAACTTATAGAAAACACTCACAATTTTCAATACTTTCTACAGCTTCCATTTTATTACCCTTAACCGCGCTGCTCCTGTCAAGTATTTTGGACATTTGATAGTAACGTATCGTCAGTCATTTCCGTATGTTTGACCTACATTTGCATGTACAATATTTGCTCTTTTAGTATTAAAACTATATAAATATATTTGAAATCGTTTACGTTGCTTCGAGGATCCTAGTTACATACACAGCTCTATAAACCAAACAAGCTTTTTTCATGAAAATCTCTAAAATGTGGGACTATTCTGGCAAGTTTCCTATAAAGTATCGTGATTAGCTGCTCTTTGGTGTTCCATTAAATAAAAGAAAATAAATGATAAACTTAAGGATAATCCATCGAGCTGCTCTTTGATGTTCCATTAAATAAAAGAAAATAAATGATAAACTTAAGGATAATTTATCGAGCTGCTCTTTGGTGTTCCATTAAATAAAAGAAGAAGAAAACCGATATGACGCCCTCTATATTTTTGGACGCAGTAATATTACTAACAAATATTAATTTAAAAGAGGTTAACGATTTACTTCATGTGTGTTTAACTTTTTAAAATTAGCATTTCCATTCCGGTGGTATTATCACAACTATCATATTTAATATTACTTTCCATTAAAACATAAATTGTTATTACTTATATTTTTGATAATGATTAGATTTCTATAAGGCATACATGCACGAATAACTTTTATTAATTTACCATACAAGTGTGTGTAAATTCTTTTCCAGGTTAATTTTATTGTTGCTGGTTTCCATGACTGTGTCGTAATGTATGCGTGGGCTTTGAACCAGACATTGGCTGACGGAGGAGACCCTTTAGATGGGTCTTCCATCATCAGAAAGTTGTGGAACAATACATTTCGTGGAGGTAAGATAGTTCAGTTTATATTTGATACTATACATGGAAGAGGACTATCTAGATGTCCCCCGGTTTCACAGCGGTTGTATCTCACAACTGTGTAATGAGCAATAAACAAATGAAAAGATCTCCTCCTTCGTCTACTGTCCTCCAGTGGCATAGTGGTACGTACGTCTGCGGACTTATAACGCTAGAAACCAGGTTTCGATACCCGTGGTGTAACATTGTGTAGCTTTGTGCTTAAGTACAAAGAAACAAACTATCTAGATGGATCTTTTATCACTAGGAAGTTGTGGAACAATCCATTTCGTTCAGGTAATGAAGTTAGATTGTTTATATTGGATGTTAGACGAAAGAGTAGGTCCTCTAGGTTAGTGATTCCCAAACGTTTTCCCTATGTGACCCGATTTTTGAGACACAAAAACTTACGCAGCCCTAAACAGCGCCCAAAACAACATAGCAACCGACACGTTCACGAGGCGATTTTCAAAGTTTTAATTTCGAACAAAAATAAGTTTAATTGTAATTGTCTTCTAGCGACACCATCTGCTGACGCTGCAAAACTACTCGAGGACTATCTGCGCTAGTCGTCCCTAATTTAGAAGTCGTGGAGTAAAAGAAAGACAGCTGGTCAACAGTATTCATTGACAACTCTTGGGCTATTCTTTTACCGATCGGTAGGATTGGCCACATTATAACGCCCCTACAGTTAAAGGGCGAGCATGTTCGGTGACGGGATTCGAACTCACGACCTGTAGATTGCGAGTCGAGCGCCCCAAACACCGGCTGTGCCAAGCCCTGCTATGAGGGGGTTGGGAGGCTTAATTGTTTACACCTGAGGGTAAACAAAATAGGGGATCTTCCGTCATTCATCATTAAGAACTTGTGGAACAACACAACTCATCTGGTCAGGATGGTTCATTTGTTTACATCTGACGTAGACGAAGGTTGTTGTATGATATTGAGCACAAAGCTACACAAAGGGATATCTGTGCTCTGCCCACTACGGGTATCGAAACCCGTACGTACCACTGTGCCACTGGAGGACAGTAGACGAAGAAGGAGATCTTTTCATTTGTTTATTGCTCATTACACAGTTGTGAGATACAACTGTGAGTAGAAAATCCCAGCTTTTTTACATCTAAAATAAATTTATTTGGGACTCTGTCATATGTTATTTCATTTATTTTTCATCAAATAGTTATGGAAACAACCTTTATGTAGATGATATATATTCCAAGGTACGCTGATCATCTTATAAGTAAGAATACTAAGCGCAGACAATACGACAAACGGCAGAAAATTTTATTCTGAATTAAGTCTGAATTTCTCATTATGACTGAGTTGTAAAAATGAAATTCAACATCTTCTAAATACAAAGAGAAAAATAATCAGTGTTCGCTTACAACATAAGTACACGAATACGAACTGAAACACTTCTCTCTTACTATCGCGATATATATCTTGAGAGAAGAAAAAATCTCAGTAAACACTGGCGATGTGCTTACAAGACTGAGAGAGTTGACAGTTAGACAAAACACAACAATGTCATCTCTCCCAAAGTACATTTTCTACCCACGTCATGATCACTCAATAACTAAAAATACGGAAGACATCGCCTCCAGGTGCTGTCAAACCTCTATATAGTGGACAAAGTACAGTATTGCATGATACCATCTTGTCCACCACTGACATATTCAGTTAGAGACAGTTCAACAATATCTAAGGAGATTGATCTATGACAATGGGTAACTAGAGCACTAACAAGTTAACAATAAACATTAATCAGTTTTTCTATTGTTAAACGTTTAACACACATTAGTGTGAAAACTTTGAAAAATTTTAAATCAATATAAAGTAATCACCGGTAGAAACTAAAAGGAAAGTAAACACCAAGCGTGTTTCACGTACCATATAGGAACAACGTTTCGAATTTTTGAACTCAAACTTTGTCGGTGTTTCTTCAGTTATCAGAAAATTGTAACCCAAAATATTTTATGTCTCGAGTACTGGAATAACGGACTGATTTAGAAGTGAGAAAATGTATGGTTTCGGGATGCGAAACGTTTCTTAAAAGTATGTCAAAATGCTCCCACTAATGTGTAAATGGATGGCAAACAGTGTTCGGAGAACGTAGAGTTTTTATGATTTGCTGTTTTACAGAGTTACTCTGAAAGACTTCGTGATTAATAAAGTTCTGTATTTTATTCTCTAAGTGAAAACAAAACTGTAAGAATTTTACATTAGAGCAACTACTTATCTATATAAATATGTTAGTACCGTCTGTTGTAACTACTTCGCAGGGTGTAGATGGATCTTCACCAAAATTCGATATGGAGGTTCATTAGACCCATGGGGAGATACATGCAAACTTGCGATTTCACATTTTGTGTTTTGCAGTTTTTATGAGCGTTTTTGTGTTTTTTACAATTACATATAAGGGAAGCAACTTTTCGTGTCGTAAGATAAACTTTAATTAATCATGAATTTACATAACTTCCGTACAGGGGACGGGTACTCTAAGTAGTACTATAATAAACCGGGACGGGTACTCTAACTAGTACTATAATAAACTGGGACTGGAACTCTAACTAGTACTATAATAAACCGGGACGGGTACTCTAACTAGTACTATAATAAACTGGGACTGGAACTCTAACTAGTACTATAATAAACCACATCAACTTATCTAAATCAGACCATTCTAAAACTATAGCAAGTTATATTACCTCAAACACTTAATCCAAGGCAATTTACAGAATTATTATTAGGAAACCCTCATATTTGAAATAATTGTATGTTGAAAATAACACTTTCAAGTCCCCCTAGTCGCTCAGCGGTAAGTCTGAATGAAAGCTTGTAATGATAAAAACCGGGTTTTGATACCCGTGTGGGTACAGCAAGGTGGCCCATTGTGTAGCTTTGTGAGTAACAGCAAAGAAACAAACTTTTAAGGAGAACAAAATTTCACCAGAGGCACATTGAAGGTATGTTTTATTCAGGTAAGTTTGGATATGGTACAGTATGTTCTTAAACCATATTACTCTGTATACCTAAAGTGCTTTTCTCTCAAATTAGCACTGTATTTATTTCTATTCTTTCTTTCAACATTACGAACTGGAGACTTGAATAAAGTGCACGTCAGTGTTCAATAAACAATATCAAAGAGATGATGCTTCCAATAGTTCCTTTAAGGGATGAGATGATGAGAATGACAAAAAGTATACTGAACCCGTATGTGTCAATTTTTGAAACATTTTGTAGCATGTCCAAACTTTTTTGAATTTGTGATCCTCAACGTACCGCTGATAAGAATTTATCCTCTAGTGAGACAGCGGTGAGTCTACAGAATTACAACGATAAAATTCGGAGTTCGATTCCTTACAGTAAATACAGTAGCTAGCCAAAAGTAGCTTTACTCTAAAAGAACAAAAGCAACAACTGATAGAATTCATTTCTCTTAAAACAAGTAGTTTTTGAAATATGATATTTTAAACACGGGGATATCATTATACTCATTCTATACTTAAACATAGTAATTCGGATTGTTTTTTTAAAACTGAAGTAATTAAATTTTCATATTCTTTTCCCCCTTTTCAATAATCAAGTTACAAAATTTTAAGAAAGATTATCTGTAACCTAAATGCCTGTTGCGAATTTATCTTTACACAAAAACGGATTTTTTATTTTAATTGCGTTCATTTTCAACAAAAGTGACATTATTTTAATTCTTGAATAATAACTAAGTTCGTTTTCCTGGCTGATAATGTTACACATTTCTTTCTAAAGCAAACTCTTCCTCAAAGAAAATGATTTTGAACAAAAGCCAAAACATTTTGCTTTAATTACTTTAATTTCAAGGTTTATAACGCTAAACTCCGAAGTTCGATCTCTGCGGTTAGCATAGCACAATAGCCCATTGTGTAGCTGTGCACTTAACAAGAGGAAAATTAATAAACCCGACTGAGTTAAAAGAAAAACAGGATGTATTCAAATTAAAATCATACTGTAGTTTTTGATCCTGAAACGCAAGAATCAACTTTTTCTTTTTAACTCGAGAAACTAATAAACAATGGTAAACCTTCTTATTAAGTATATTTCTTTCAGGAATAACTGGTGATATCATCATCAACGCTAATGGCGACCGCGAAACCGATTACACTTTAAACGAGTTGGATGAAAAATCTGGAGAGATGAAGGTGAGAAGATACAGTTATAGCTGGTTGCAATGTCAGTTATTTCAAATATATATATAGGGGTATATACATACTTAAGAGTATTAGGTATGTAAAGAAAGGAGGACTTTGAAAATACAGATAAAATAGCTTTGAAGTGAATTGATAAAATAAAGATTTCTAAACTTATACTTTATGTTGTTTTTAAGTAGCTTGAAGCAATTTAGTCAGAAGTGTTGGTTTTTGTTGCTTACAACTTGTGTTTACTTTGACAGCCTGTTGCTATTTACTTTGGTTTCACTGAAAAGTTCCAGTTGCTAGATGGCGCTAAAATCCACTGGCCAGGTGGTCGCACAAGTCCACCACCAGATGTTCCCTCGTGTGGATTTCTAGGTGACGAACCAATGTGTCACAGTAAAGGTAGACTTTATTTTTGAAAACGTGTTAATACTTTCGAGTAATTAAAATCGCAAGTAAATTATATCTTATATTTTAAATGAAACAATTATTTTACTTTTTACACTCAAGAAAAAGCGTAATACAACAGTGTCAACATATTTTCGATGAAATATTCAACAGTCAAAATTGAAAATGAAATAATAATTTCACACACATAGAAGAGAGAATTTGTTTGAAGTTAAGCACAAAGCAACACAAGAGGCTATCTGTGTTCTGCCAACCACGAGTATCGAAACTCGGATTATAGAGTTATAAGTCCGCAGACATGCCGCTGTATCACTGGCGGGCAGAAGAGAGTTTGTTTTTGAATTTCGCGCAAAGCTACACGAGGGCTATCTGCGCTAGTCGTCCCCAATTTAGCAGTGTAAGACTAGAGGGAAGGCAGCTAATCATCACCACCCACCGCCAAATCTTGGGCTACTCTTTTACCAACAAATAGTCACATTATAACGCCCCCACGGCTGAAAGGGCGAGCATGTTTGGTGTGACAGGGATGACAGAAGAGAGAATACAAACAAACAAAAACAGAGAACAATATGCAGGGTGCGGCAAGAGCAACGTTTCTCAAGTCCTTTGTTTGTTTGTAGTTAAGCACAAAACTACACAATGGACTCTCTGTGCCTTACCCATAACGGGTATCGAAACCCGGTTTTTAGCATTCTAGGATTTCAGTAAGTCAGCTGTAAGTCTGAAGGTTTATAACGCTAAAAACTGGGTTTTGATACCCATGGTAGACACAGTACAGATAGCCCATTTTGAAACTTTGTGCTTAACTACAAATAAACAATCAAACAAAGCACATTAAAATTATTATGTTAATCATTGCCATGCAAATGAGATTAACCACTAATATCTTAATATCATATTCTAATACTGATTAAAATATTTGGTGCAAATTACTTTTGTCTCACCTTGTATATTTGTTTGCATATTTTATCATGTAGTTTTAGTTCTACCAGTGTGATGTCCAATAGTGACTTCTGATTGACACACTAGAGCCTCTTCATAAGTCAAAAAAAACTTTGTCTGTCCATCAGAACATTATGAAGGTTATTAAAATAAGGAAGAATTTCAACATTGGATATTACTACTATTCCTTTTCTTGTTGTTTGTATAACCTTGGGAGTCTTTGAATTTTGTAATTTGGCTCCAATTGTTTTAGGTAATTGTAAATCCTGTAATTTTCAATATCACTCGTGTACTTCTAGTAGTGAATAATTTGTAATATCCAAGACCTCAAAATAAAATAAAGTATTCTAATGTTCTAGAAAAATATCCATTGGGTGCTATAGTAAGCCTCATCACAGCCTGTATAGTGTTTGTTGGAATGATACTTGCTTTTCTAGTATTCCGGTAAGTAATCGATGTAACACGAATATGAGTATGTTCAGACATAAAAATCGATTACACAAGGTTATCACGAAAAAAAAAAGCTAAAAACTAATTTCTACTTTATAAACGTTGCATTATATAGTGCGGTCTAACAATGATAAAAAGTGTCTTAAATGTAGCCATACCAGGAAGGTTTAGTATATTAACTGAAATTATCTCAATTAAGGTAGATATTTTGTTATATATATAAATATTTTAATGTTTTTTTTAGATATTTTTCTTAAACATAGATATTCAATATCTTTAAAAAATCTCCAACCAAAAGACTTGTAAGTTGTAGATCTTTACTGATACAGACGAGAGCTTCAACTTAAGTACAGATTACACATAACACATGTAAACTGTGTGTTCCTTATCAAAACAAAAAGTTTAAACTTAAATACGAATTACACATAAGACGAGTAACTATGGGTTCCTTATCAAAACAGGCAGCTTAAACTTAAGTACAAATTACACATCAGATGTGTAAACTGTGGGTTCTTTATCATAACAGACAGTTTAAACTTAAATATGAATTACGCATAAGACGTGTAAACTTGAGGTTCTTTATCAAAACAACTTAAACGTAAGTACGAATTAAACCTAAGATTGTAAACTGTGGGTTCTTTATGGATACAACCGATTTAAATGTAAGCCAGAATTACACATAAAACATGTAAACTGTAGTTTTTTTATCGATGCAGACGGCTTAAACTGGAGTCCGAGATACTAAGCCAATGGTGGAAGATTAATTGGGAGGACATAGTCTTCATGGAGAGAACGTTGAGATCATCTGGAAGTCTACATTCATTCACAGCCCCTACATCTGTCGATAAGGTATGAACTGAGCTAAGAAATATATTGATGCAGATGCTTTAAATTAATTCCTTTAAATTATCCAGGGTACACCCATAAAAACTCAATTATTTTTAGAATCAACGTAAATAAGTTAATAGCATTAATCCTTAAGATATTGGTAAGTAGGTTTTCGGTTTTTTGATATCTTTTTAAATCCAGCTTGATGACAACAGGCTTTTCACCATGTGATCAAATTTTCAACTACATGCTTTGAAGTGTATCTTTTTACCTAAAATAGAGCAAACTTTGCAATGAATCTTTTGGGCATTCCAGTGCTTTGACATTAAGAATGTCCTATATGCCGTTTGGTTTGATATTAATGAAATAAATGTCAGCAAATTAATTGCGAAAGATAAGATAAAATAACATTTAGTCCTAAATATAAGAGTGACAGCCATTACAATAACTGACAACGTCCCGTACCATCTTCTGATACTTTCTGACAATGGAGGAAAGAAAAAAAGGTACATACAATGTGCCGAAGAGGACTGGAAAAGGCTACATAAAATCTGACACAGAGAACTGGAGAACGCTACATAAAATCTGGCAAAGAGAACGGGAAAAAAGTTACATAAAGTCTGGTAAAGAGAACAAGAAAAAGCTACAAACAACCTGGCAAAAAGGATAAGAGAAAGCTACAGATGAAGTTTATAATTATTATTGTTAAAGTGACGCACATAGTGACTGTTTTTTGAAAACTTGAAAACTATCCGATAAAAATTCAAAAACTAACTAAAAATGAAGACTGGACAAAAACATACTTGAACTTAAGTAATGACAACAAACCAATGTCAAGACACCTGGATGCACTACATTTTATAGAATGGGAAAACAAACAAAGAAAACAATCCACCCATAGTTATTGCTGGTATTGTCAACACTCCATGTACGGTATATAATATATTAAGACAATTTTGGAGCTTTTCTACATCTTTACAGTCCGTTTCATCATGCCCGATTCTGCGACCGTGCATCTTGATAATAATTGTGTAGTGTAGTTTCTATTGCAAAATTCTTCGTCATAAAGTTGTCATGTCCAAAACATACCATTCCTCCCTGTTTGCATTCCATAATCGATCTAGTGTATGACTGCAACGGTTTCCTAACACACGTTTCAACACTCCGATTGCACCAAAATCCATAGGCAATGCAGCCGACGACTTGTATCTACATGCCTTTGTAT